ATTCTTGTATTCATCTATTTATTTTTTTTTTATACATTTTGAAACAGTAGCCCAAAACCTACTTGGATACTTCAAGCGGCATGGTGGCTGCGTGGGCAGCACACCTGCTTCACAGCAAGAAGGTTCCAGGTTTGATTCCTGAGTTGTCCAGACCTTTCTGTCTAGACTTTACTTGTTCTCCCTGTGTCTGGATGGGTTTCCTCTTGGCGGTCTGGTTTCCCATCAGCCCTACCATACACCTTAAGTGCAGTCGTCCAGTAATAATGTACTCCTGACCAAGCTTAGCAACAAAATCATGGAGATGTGTTGCCAGGCGTGGCACTGCTCCTGATGAGGTGCCCCAACAGCACTGAAGGATGGGTCAAATGCAGAGAACAAATTTCCCTATGGGGACAATGAAGTGTTCCTTAAGCAAGTAAGCTATGATAACTAGAATTTCTCCTTTTTTCAGTTCCCCAAGCATCATTTTTGTTCACATAAGGCTATCGTCACGGTCCCTTATCTTAACCCAACTGAAGGCATAAATGACTGTTTCATTTTTTGAAGATGTTTAAAGCTCCTTACATAATTCCTTAGAGACAAACTGACACAAGTCTATTGTAAATGTAATATTTCCACTCAACTTCCAAATCTTGTTTTAAACCTTGTCTTAAATCTATACAATTCCTTCATGTTTATGCAAAGAGATTTATAACTGTTAAACATCCGGCTAGTACAGGACTAATGATACAATTATGTAATATTCACTGAAGTCTTTTTATCCTTCAAGATCAAGGAAGCACAACCTATTAGACACAAGGATGAGAATTTTTTTTAAAATTAAAACCCAATTGGATTTAATTAATTTTAAATGCCCAGAGCTTATATAGATGTTTCTATAGGGGCAACTTTGTCAACTAATTGTTTATTGTGACATTCAGGTGAAATATGACTCGCTGGTGAATTGTAGTATAACTGCTGTAGTGTTTAGTGTAAGGAGAAGTAGAGTAATGAGTTTGAAAACACAATTTGTAATGACTAGATAACTAGGTCAGATCATTTCCAAAACTGCAGCTCTTATGGTGAGTTTCCATTTTGAAGTGACAGTATGATATTTAAAGAAAGGAGCAGTGATGGTCAGGCCATGCACACTGGAAGTGAGGGTTTATTATTGTGTCCTTGGGCAAGACACTTTACCAGTCTTTTCTATGATATTCATAAATGCTATAGTAACAGCTTATAGAGTGAGCAGTGAATAAATACTACAATAGTGTCCTGAATCCTCTATTAATCCAATGCACTGTAATGTTAATTGTTAATGTTACACTTTATTGAACCCGGAAGTGAAATTCATCCTCTGCATTTGACCCGTCCTTCAGTGCCGCTGGGGAAACCTGTCAGAAGCAGCACCCGGGGACCTGTCTCCAGATCTTGCACTGTCAGAGCTTTGCACCTTGAAGAATGAGCATGGATCTGCATATGAGTCAGGCGGTCATATGTGAGGCCCATAATGGAACAGTATGCAGTAAAAAAAAAAAAAAAATCACAGTTGAGCCTGTAAAATGCTTTGCCAGTGCCTTAACCTGCATATAGTCCAGGGTCCAAGTTTTTCTCATTCTTATTATATGAAATGGCAAAGTCTCTGGTGACTGCTCAAAACTTCCAGAATTCACTCACTGGGCTGCAGAGGCTGCACTAGCTCTGATAAATGATGCTGCAGATGCTGGGGGTTTGATAGTAAAGATTCAGACCAAATTTAGACATTGGCACCCCAAAAGAGAGAAAACATGTGAGGCTCATTCTGACTGGATAATCGTCGTGAGAGTTCAGAATAAAGCAGCTTTACAATTATTACAAGTAAGAGCTATATTTGATTTGAACTACCTTGTATCTGGTGACACATTTAAGTCATGTTTATGGAATTTAAAATGAAAATCCATCATGTGGTTCCTTTAATTTCAGTAGTGGATCTGTAGAGGATAGTTTTTGTAAATGCAACCTGGCAAACCTGAACATGTATTGGAGTGGAGCTGTGTATCGCCAGTAAAGAGCTTCTGGTGCTTTTGTCTTCCAGGATTATACTGAAAGGTATCCAGGGGAATCATTGTTCTTTTTGGATTAACTCCTGACAGCAGTGGCTTGTCCGTGACGACAGTGAATACATCGCCTGCAGATCAATGCTGAGACTGTTAGCCTTTGTGATATTGTGCTGTTTTTGGGTTTGAAAATATTCTCAAAAATCTCTACTTGGTAAAATGGATGTAAAATGTGGCATCATATGAACAGGTTTACTCATAAAAAACAGAATACAAACAGGTCTTATGAAGCTAAAAAACATGCAAATAACGGTAACCTATGACAAAAACATATGGTTTTGTCAATAAAATTCTTACATATACATGGATGCTATTTAATCTAGTAGCTGTGCTATAGCATTTCCTATCTGACTTTAAATGCCAAAGTTCACAGTGTCGTGTCAATAATAAACTCAAATTCAAAATCAATCATTCCTGTAACAAAATCTATAAGCATTTATTTTGGCATCAATATTCATTATCAGCAACAACAGCAACAGTTCATCCTTTAAAGGTGCACTGCACAACTTTTCTGATGGAGGATCCACTACCTAACTGTCTCCATGGAGACGTTATTGCTTGGCCTGGAATGTTTCATGATATGACATTAAACATATCCATTTAATGGGTATATTGTGGGTATTTCTATTGCTCAAAAATCAATTAATAATAATTTCTTCTTCTCTGAACAGGGCGACTCACCACAGATCTGAATTGTAATGTAGTATTGTGCTGTAATCTTCTTATCCAAAGATAGATTTAATCTATACTGTTTAACATTCTAGACAAAACATTAACATTTCCATGGAAACAAACAGGTGGTGGACCCTCCACTAGAAAATGTTACGCAGTACACCTTTAAGTTACAATCTGAAATACATGCACAAACATTGTCAGTTTATATTTCACTCTACTCTCTAATGTTAATTGTGTGAAATGTGCAAAACTCAGAAATATGAAATGAATTTTGACTAGGGCTGTGCAGCTAATCAAATTTTAATTGAGATTGACGTTCTAATCGTCAATTTTATGCTTGGCTCTTTTTACTCAAGGGGCCTACAGCCAGCCCTCCGTCAGTTAAAACATGTGGAGGAGAGTTCAGACTTTGGAGCAAGAAATTGGACTAGTTTTTGTGTCAAATAGCAGTGATTAAAAGTTTGTATTGTTTTATGTTTATGAAATCAATATTGAATGGCTTTTTCTGTGTTTGAAAAAAAAAGAATCACAAGTCGTCATATCGAGAATGATTATAAAAAAAACATCCATTTTCTTCTGCTTCTCCGGGGCCTTAGACAGCAGTCTAAGCAGGGACTCCCACACTTCCTCCACCCCGGACACTTCCTTAAAAAAATATATATAAGAAAATAAAAAAATATATATATATAGCTCAAATCTGTAATGAAAGAAACTAAAAGGAAAAAAACAACAACATACAGGTAATTGGGAGCTCCTAGTGGCGTTGTTGCGAATAAAAATGATGTAAAATGCTTGCTAAGGTAAACCTGAAAACCATGGTGCCTTGGCCATTATAGCCACATTTTCTGAGACAAATCTATTCATGTTCTTATGGGGGAAAGGTCATAGAAGAGGGACTCACAGAACTGTTTACAATGCAATAAACCCAGGCAACAAAGAGTATTCTGGTTTCGTTGTTTATAAAAGCAGAATACAGTATGGCCTCCAGCCTCAAGAAAAGTGCTAAAATGTCAAGTTACTTCTTTGATTTTATAATGAATTATAATAAACACTTATATTGGTTTGGTTTGCACTTTGTTTGTTGTATTGCACATGCCTATTTTTATGTAGTAAGTAAGATACAGCTTAATGAAAGTTCAGATATTACACAGCCTATAGGGTTCAACATCATGGACAATTTTTTATGTCACAATGCATCAATTACAAGACCATAAGTACAGTATATTGTGACTTAAAGCAAACCTATTATGCAAAATCAACTTTTTAGAGCTTTTTTTTTACCATGTTATAGTCATTTCCTCTTCTCATTTCCCCTCTCTAAGTTGTATTTAGTGTGATTCATGCATGTTGGAGTAAGTAAATCTGCTACTTGCCTGACAGTAGCTCAATTGGTAGTATTTGCCCACTAATCCGAAGTTTGGCGGCATTAAAAACATCATTGGTTCATCATCCACTGACCTACAAGTTGTTGGTACGATCCCAGCTCACAGATGAATGCTGTGTCCTTAGGCAAGACACTTATCCCCCCTTGTCCCCCAATGCCCGGTGTGTGAATCTGTGTATGAATGGGAGAGTATTTCAGCTTTTATGAATTCTGCAACAGCCGGGACAATCAGCAGCAGCATATATCAGTGTTTCCCAATAGGCGCAAGAGGAGCTAGGGGTACTCCAAATAATTTCAGATTTAAAAGAACGATAGAGTTGAATATTACTTGAATTTAAAATGGTCCTTTTAGTATTTTGCACGTTTAACACTGGGGCTTATTTGGCATGACCATCATTAAAACGAATGACAAATAGGCCGTACTCAGATTTATAATGACACTGTTGGGGTGACTGGCTGGGGGTCGTCTCCATCACACTTGTCTAGTACATTCATAATAAGCCCTTTAACTCCTTATTTAACACTAATATCTGTGTATGATACAATGGACTGGTATGGATTGGTTCTCATCAGTGGATGTGAATGGACTCGGGAATTCATTGAGCGCACTCAGATGCAGAAAGAGGAGGGAGGAGAGAGAGGAGAGAGAGGAGAGAGAGGGAGGAGGTGACACGAAGTTTGCTGCTCACACGGAAAACACCGAGCACCGAGCGCTCATCTACTTTAGGCAGAAAGAGTGACGCTTCACCGGCAGCAGCGGAGCGGTAGTTGAAACTCGGGTCCGTTCAAAAACACTCCCCGGACGCAAAAGAGCCTTAAAAAACTGGATTTTACGCGCGCGCCATTGTCTCGTGGGGACTATCAGGATGGAAATTGAAAAGAAAAAAGGGGGAAAATTGGTATTCTTCATCCTATATTTTCACCTGTGCTATGGACTTATGGTACGTGCGTTTCAATATTTTACAGTGATAAAAAGTTACCCTATCAGGATTTTTGCTGTTGCTTTTTTGTTTGTTTTATTCCATTGCTTCCATAGTGCGTAACATTCCAGGATATCTGACAGGGATTTGACAAACAAGATGAAAACCGCCTTTGAAGTATCTCAGTTTGGGACAATTTAATACTTTTATGTTTATGACAGTAGAACATAATACGACTCTCCATTACAGATGAAACTTGGACATTGTTCTCTTCACAGTTTTGAATAATAACGCATTTTTACGCACGGGTCGCTTGGAACATTTTACCTTGTTTTACGATCTAACATAATACTTTTGGGGTTGTTCGCAGGTGGGGGCGATCCATCCGGACTGCGAAATCAAACGGCAGCACCAGAGGGCATGGGAGATCTGCAACGAGACGAGAAGGAGCGAGATGCAGAACCGAAGCCAGCAAAGCGGTGAGTAAATGATGGATAGCGCCAAGAAGCGAGACTTCGTGACAGCGCACACCAAGACGCACACGCACGCAACATTTACCTGGTCAGCGCGGGGTGACATATAAAAATGGATCGGACTTTTTATGCATTTCAATTAACCGCAAAGACCTTTTAGAGAAATAGTGTTTGCGTTTGCACAGCGGGTTCATGGCTATTTAATTATGATGACCTTGATAAATGCCACCATGTGAGTTGGTTCATAATAGTGTCTTCATCAAACGTTTGACTAGGAATTAGATCTTGTTTCTTCCAGAGATCTGCGTATTTTGAAGGAAATACCCGCAACTTTAGGTTCATTTCATTATTAATACAAAACCAACAAAAAACAAACAAAAAGAACATTGCAATCTAATGTCATGCCCAAATTTAAATTCATTACACCATCAAGCAACACGGTTCATTTTAAGCTATTACAGCTATATAAGGTCTATCTTTGGCTTCCTGAACAATCCTCCCTCATGATATGATAAATCTTACAGTAACATTTAAGAATCTCTCCCCTCTTACACAAGATATGACCATTTTAAGATGTCTTTATATCCTTAAAGCTGAACCTTGATGTGATTTAGAGGAGGGTCCCCTACTTTCCTTCTATGGAGATATTGTTTTACATACAAATTTCCACAATATGGTGTTGAACTTTTTTTGCATTTATTTATGGATGATTTTATTGCACTAAATACGCTTTAAAATGTGCTTTTTTGCTCTGACAGATCTGCTCTGTAACAATGCTTTATAGACTTGTATGCTTGTCTGACCATGTCTTGTTGTGTCTCAGGGCAAGACACTTCACCCAGCTTGCCTATGTATAAATGTGGCATGTGCGCGAGTGATTGGCTGTACAAGGGGCTGTAGATGCAGATTAAAAGTCATGCGTTTGTCTAGGGCAACAGAAATTGGAACGTGTGGAGAAGGCCTATACGATAATGGATTTACCAGTTTGTTGCTTTATTAACTTGAAGACAGACTGTGCATTTATTCACGGTAGGGTTGATTTAGGATCACTGTAACACAAAGAAAGTCCCATGTCTTGTCAGTGAGGCGAAACTTCATATACTCTCTAAAAAATGAAACACTGACCTGTTTAGATATTGCTGTTATATCGCTGTTAGATCACCTTAAAAACTCAATTATTCGCTGTGGATCAACATCAAATAGTTAAATAGAAAAAGATGACATATAATATTTTAAAAGGATCAACATTTCATCGACAAGACCTATACCACAGATGTCAAGTACATAATACATGATAGAAATACAGATAAGCATCAGCATAGAGTTATATAGGCATCTGTCCTCCATCTGAGGTTATGACATTGAATTGGGATGTGGGTGTAGGCTGAACCCACAATATAGTTTGCCAAGGTGCAGGAAAGCTTACCGCTCTGTGAATGGATCTTATAGTAAAGGGTGAAATGTGTTTTTTAAAGCGTTAGATGCAATATGCACAGGTCAACATCACTGTCAATTTTCTATCCTGAAATACCCTGCTCTAAAAGACTGTTTACTGCTTTCACATCTTTAAAGGTACATTATATACTGCTATATTTTCTGGTGAGGGTTCGTCACAAGCTTGTTTTCATGTCTTTGCTTAGAATGTTATACACCAAGGCATTAAAGCGATTTTTATTTTGCAAAATCAACTTTTCAGACCTTTTAGAGCCATGTTATATTTGTTTTCCCCTCACCATTTACTCGCTCAAAGTACGTGCATGTTTGAACAATCGTTAATCACTTATTTTCAGGACAACAATTTGCTTTTAGCACCAATTTCATTTTCTTAATCTGTGATACTAGTACAATTCAGCAGTGTCATGTCGTCTTTTTTGGTACAAATGAAAGAAAATATCTGTGGTTTGCTCGTGTGATCTTCAGCTTTCCACAGGACAGGTTGTGATGACGCTTATGGCGACGTCAGCTTCCATTGTGCACCATGGTTTTCTAACGTGGAAGACAGCAGACTTATTTCACAGTTGTTTTTAGGTCAGATCTATGTATTTCTTTAGCAATAAAACATTTGTAATTCAATAAATGCAAAATATGTTAAAGAGCATACTGTGGAACATTCCAAGCAAAGCAATAATATCTCCATGCAGCAGGTAGGAGACCCCCCACCAGAAAAATTACATAGTGCATCTTTAACCTGTAATCTCTCAATTATAAATTCACTGTCAGGTCAAGACATTTTCAAGAGATATTTCACTTCAAATCCCAAATCACTATTTCACTTCAAATCACTCAGAGCTTCTAATTGTTCAGTCAAGTCCAATTTATTCATGTGATACAATAGTATTTGATGTTTTTCTGGAGCCCTGGGCAAATGTTCCCAAAATCCTGTCAAATTAACATCAAAACATCACTGTAAATAAACAAATATGAATTGGACTGACATTCTAAAACAAATCTACCCACTTAAATGTAGTACAGTATTCTATGTCACAGGTACAGAAGGATGTTGTGTGGTAGGGCTGCATGTTGAGAAAAATATCAAACTGCAATTTTTCATACAAGCGATTGCGATTAGATTTGCGATTTGTGTTTAGTGACAGGGTTCATTAAAGCTTTAATGCTATAATGGTTTTCCTGCGTATTTGCTTTCTCAAGTCTTATTTTGATTGATTCTTGCATGTTTGAGTAATCCTGTAACAATCTGCATTTAAAACTTCAAATACTTTTCAGTTTGCACCTATACCAACCTATTCATTTAGACAAATGATGTCATTGAAAACTTTTTAAAATAAAGCTGCAAGTGGCAATGATCGGCCTTTGTGTGCCGCAAGCGTACATTTTTACTGAAATCGGAGTTCGTATGCAAATGGGAGCCATTTGTATAAATGGCATACATTTTGTGCAATTTTTTGGGGCTTAGCTGTGCAGAGACTCAAAATTTAAGCTAGGAGCATCAGTGACACGTAAGGTAGGCAGAGTTCCATATGTGCGTACTTTTGCTCCTGTAATTCCATCCTATATGTATTCTCACGTTTAAATACTAAACTTTTACATCACTTTTGTATTCATTGCTGATAATTAATGTATCACAAAACAAAAGTTGACAACAAGAGAGACGATGCTTTGCAGCGATAACAAACCATTGCTGCAGTGCTCGCATTAAAGGTTGTATGGAGGATATTTTTTTGTTTCAAGTTGTCAATGATAGCATTATAGAGGTGCAGTAGCCTTGTAATTATGATGACCAAAAAAAAGAGAATAAAAATTCATCAACTCTGGACGTGGTGGGGCCAGCTAAACATTTGCCAATAGATAATGACACTGCCTCGTTATCTGTTAGCTGACAGGCTGTCAATCAATCTCCCTACGTTTCTAGCGTAAATGACTTGCCTGCGCGCTGCCGGTACGTGGCTTACGTACGCCTGTCACGCAGTCCACAGACGCAAGCCGCACAGACGCTGTTTACTCCACCAACGCAACAGTTCTTAGCGGCTTTTTTTGACCTATATCTTCCTCGCAGTTAGCACAAAGTTTGTTGCAATGGCAGACAAGAATCCAGGAGCAGTTAGCCGCAAAAGAAAGTCCGTTTTTGAGGTCACTGAAAGAAGAAGACAAGGGGAAAAGCAGTGAAGCCAAACTAAGGTGATTCTTGAAGATTCATTCCAGCGATGGCGCGACTGAAGCAGACGCAGGGTCTAAAGACTGACACATTGGTCGCCAAATTACTCCTGGACAGGTCACTTCTGCTTATTATGAAAACGTACTTTATTTCCAAGAGCTAGTCAAACGTTTTTCAGGACACGAAAGCGATATCCTATGTCTGAAAACGTAATTTTCAAGGCAAAGAAAGAGTCCGCTTGCTGCTGCGTGTTGTAGCTAGTTCATTCGCACGGAATCTCCGCGCAACCTTCTCTGCACCCCTTTCCTGCTCCTCTCCCCGCTGCCCGTTCCGCTCTTCCCCCTGCTCCTCACTTCTCCGGGCACGGAATCTCCGTGCACCGCTCCCCTCTCCGTTCTCCTCTCCTCTCTCCTCTCTCCTCTCCTCTCCCTGCTCCGCTCTTCTACCTGCTCCTCACTTCTTGTCCGGGCACGGAATCTCCGCGCACCGCTCCCCTCTCCTCTCTCCTCTCCCTGCTCCCTGCTCCGCTCTGCTCCCTGCTCCTCACTTCTCGTCCGCGAACAAAATGTCCGCACACCCGCTCCCCCCGCTCCTCACTTCTCCACCTTGCCTAACCAACACTGTAGTTAGTTGTTTACAAGTCATGTGCAGCGCACCGGCTGTAAACAAACCTGTTTCTGGCGTAAAGAGGAGGCGGGAGAAAGCGTTTCTACGTAGGGACCTGTAGGGGAGGGGGGGTGGTTTCACGCATGCGCAACATTTGAAAAAGGACAAACAGTCGCTGGATTTCTCGTTCCTTGGAGAATCCTCTATACAACCTTTAATTAAGCCACTCTCCATCCAACTTTGGTTGTCTGCACCACGCACCTTTTCCTTCAGAAGTTGTCCTTGTAAAGTTGCTGTCTGATGTCGTGAAGGGTTTTATATTTATCCTCCATGGCTGTAAACTTTCCGCAGTCCATCACAAGTCATTCCTCGAGTGAGTGTTTACGCGACTGTAGTGGTTTTAGAGAACATATTTTGAAATGGCATCGGAAATTTATTTTGACACCTTGTGCATATTTCCTGTCTTGCCCCTGTTAAAAAGCCTTGAGACGCTCCAATAACACTGAAATATTGGAACTCCAACCTAATTTGAGAGGCGTGTAGCGTAATGACGGCAATTGGATGCACATATGACACCGCTCGTGTAAGCTGTTTAACCAGTTAAAATGGAAAGCGATACCTACGCGTATGCTGTGCTGTTGCACTTATGTGCTGTTACTACTTCGGTGTAAATTAGGGGTAAGAATTTGGATAACTTTTGATGTCTCACCCTTTGAGATAATGTGTATCAAATTTGAGCCTGTTCAGGTGAATGCCCTCAGAGTGTGTTTGTAAAAGTACGACAGAA